CCCTGTTTTTGCCTATAGAAGACACTATTACTGAAGATTCTTAAAAAGGTTTTTTTCTTTATCTTTTCTGCTTCTTACAAGTAAGTGGAAATGTACAAAATGGAGAACATACCTTAAATTTTGAAGCTACTTATACTTAGTACTATACTCAGAAATGCCTTCATGGACTTTTAAGCTAGATACTTGCTTTCATCTCTAGATACAGGGAAAGGCTGGAGTTAAAAAAATCACTATGTTGCTCTGAAGCAAATGGTTGTTTTCCTAAAACTGCAAATTTAGGAAAACACCAACACTTCCAATAAAATTCTAGGAGTCTCTTGTGGCTTGTCAGGCATAATAATAACTACAGATTCCAAAGCATAAGAGTTAAATATCAGCAAAAAATGAATGTGGTGGTTCCCATTCATTCATAGTATTTTCAGTTTCCAAAAGGAAAAACAGAATTCTGAGTGCACCTCTGCCTTGATCACCTCCAGATGCCTCCTCCACGCCAATACAGTGAAATGGCACCTGGTGCCCTGGAGGTGCCTCAACTACTTTGTGAATGGATATGAAGTCTCAACACTTGACACTCGTTTACCTGTGTTAGTAGAGGAAAATCTGAGTCTCAAGGGAAAAGAGGGGTTGAGGCAAAGGCTGGTGGTAGTGACGGATGACGGACTCTTCCACTAGTAGAATAGCTACAGTTTAAACAGAATTTGCCACAGCAAAGAACTATTTTCCATTAATTTTGTATTTCATATTTCTTTTTTTTTTTTGGCACCGGGGATCGAACTCAGGTCCTTGTGTTTGCGCACCAGGCAGAGAAACTGCTGAGCTAAATCCCTGGCCCTCATATTTCTTACGTATTTTTGTTTCTTGAGAAACTTGCATAATGCCTGGTACTCAGTAAGTGCTCAGTTGGTCCCCACTGCTGCTCCCCGACACAGGATCAAACTCAAGACACTTATCATTAAGCAACAACCCCACCTCTTTTCTTTTTTTGACAGGGTCTCACTGAGTTGCCCAAGCTGGCTTTAAACTTGTGATCCTCCTGCCACAGCCTCCAAAGTAGCTGGGATTACAGGCTTGAGGACTAAACCCAGGGCCTTGCACATGGTAGGTAAGTGCTCTACCACTGAGCTACAACCCCAGGTCTTAGTTTTTAAAAATCGCCTTTTCTGGAAGGTCACTGTGAACTCCTTAGAAAACCATTTGTCCAACTCTGGTGCAAAGGTAAATTGCAGCTCTGCACTGTGATGAACTCTAGAGTGGTGCAGAGTAAGTGTAAGTTTTACTATAAATATAAAGCCAAAATGTCCCAGTTTCAGTTTACTATTATTGAAGCTTTCACATCTATTTTGAGGGACACAGGGTAGAAATTTTTGTTTGGTGTTCAGAGGGGAGAGCTGGAAGGCAAATTCAAGCCATGCCTCACACACACTTAATAAACTCACTGGGCAAGAGTCAGGAAGGGCAGTTTTACATCACCACAGAGTTGTCTCTCAACAGTTTTAAGGGTGAAAAAAAGGAATTCCTGTATATTTTTTGGGAGAGATGAAATCTTGAAACTCAAGACCTCTCAGCATGAAGCTGTAGTTGAGTTTAATCTCTTTTTAAAATCAACTCTATAAAACTTAAAGAATAGATTTGAGCTGCATTTATAGTTGTCCTCATGCTAACCCTGGCTAAAGAAATATTAGCAATGGTCAAAGCCCAGAAAAACACTTTGGAAGAATCCAGCTTTCAATTGTGACTATATAAAGTATGACAAAGATTATAATAAACCAATATATTAAGAAGCAGTAATTTCTGGAGACTTAATGCTTAAATGATACATAAGATAGCATATTCAAAAATGTTCAGAGGGATGAACTATAGGTAAGAGAAAAAACAAAAAAAAAAAAAACTAGAAAAAAATAAATAAAAAAGCAGAGCTTAGAGAGGACAGAAAAGTCCCTGTAGAAATCAAGCGGGGCATGTCAGATATATAAATGACTATGTTCTGGAGTTATAGCTCAGTGGTAGAGTGCTTGTCCAGCATGCACCATGAATAAGGCACTGGGTTCAATCCCCAGAACCTCAACACACACACACACACACACACACACACACACACACACACACACACCCTTGTAGGTATGTATTCAATAGGGGGAATATTGTTTATGTTGAATCTACAAGTGCTCCTTTGTGCAGTGAAGCTTCCATCTGATAAACAATCAAGTTATACACTTTGTTTTCATTGTGCTATGCCTATGATACTCTGGATTGTGAAGGCAAAGGAAAAAGGGAAACCAGATTTCAGCTGGAAGCAATGAACTTAAGTTTTGAGTAAAATGAGTTTGAATTTCAATTATGGAAACATGTTGGAAAGAGATAAGATCATCTTAAATGCCTTGTCAGAGTCTGTAAATGTTTCAAAAATAACTTAAATTTAGGCTTCGATTTTCCCAGTCTACCTCTAACTACCAAACAGATCTTTTTATTGCCAAAATATGAGAAAAGGAAAAACATGGAAACAAAGTCTTTGTAAATAGGGAAGGGTGGAGGGGGTGAAGGGTGGGCAGGGGAATGGGGAAAAAATAAGAACCAAGATACATCATGTAAAGGTACAAGATCCCAATGATGAATGTAACTGTACTGTATACCTAAAATGTACCAATAAACTAAATGGAACCCTCCCCCAAAGCTAGCGGGGTGGGGTACAAACAGAAAACAGAAAGATCTTTATCATCGCGGTAGGCAAAATGTTTCTTTTTAGGCTTCTTTTTACTAAAACAAAATGTCATCAGCAAGGTGAACAGCTTTTGAACGGAGATGTGAAACTTGGTAATTGCTCCTAGTTGAAGCTTTCAATCTAAAAAAAGTCATCCATAGCCAAATTTCATGGAAAATAAAAAGTTATTACAGTCTTAAATATTTATGTATATCCAGGGAACACTGTAGCTTAAAATACAATTTTAATTCATCATCTTCCTCTATTTTCCAAATTGGTGATATTTGCTGGTCTTTTAATGGGCCAGAAGATTATATAATTATCCTTTCAGGGGTCTACCTCACAGTGGAGTCTGCAGCTGAAATACTGACAAATGTAAGACTTCTTTCATTATCTTTAAGAATTCAAAACTAAGAAATTCATGAAGAAATGTTCTGATAAAAGGGCCACAAAAATTTTAAAAGAAATAAAAATTAAAACTGGAAGATTATAAAATTGGCCCCTGATGCCTTAACCATGGTGCAATATGTTCTGAATGTGGGGTTTTACTCTTCTTTAAAATAAAGCTCAGGGGATTTAGGGCCAGGGATTTAGCTCAGTGGTTGTGGCGTCTGCCTCAAAAGCGCAAGGTCCCGAGTTCGATCCCGGATGCCAAAATAAATAAAGAAAGAAAGAAAGAAAGAAAGCTCATAAATCAGAATACTCAGATTTGTAACTTTAACATCAAATCCACTCCTCTGCAGTGATGAATTTAAATTCTATAAGTATGTAAGCCCTTAACTATTGCCATATTTCATTCTGCATTCAGTTGATTAGTATATGACATTCTGAGATCAAAATTATGGATTCTATTTCTACCCAGATCAACTTTGAAACTTACTGTCAGCTGAAATCCACATATTACTAAGAGAAGCAACTTGGAGACTCTGCTTTGGAGTCAGGCATACTTGGGCTGGAATTCCAAGCTGACCACATAGTAGTCCCTTTTATCCTTGGGGAATACATCCTGAGATCCCCGGGGGCATTCCTGAAGTCGAGGACAGTGTCAAACCCTCTATGTTTTCCCTACGATGTAGGTGTGTATCACTTAACAATAATGACACATTCTAAGAAATGCATCATCGGGCGATTCTGCCATTGTGCAAACCTTATTACAGCATACTTGCACAGGCCTGCATAGTCTGGGTCATCATTTAATGTGGCCTCTTGATGCAATCAAGAGATCTGATAAACCTGAGATGTATGAGGCTGCCACTGGCAGAGGCACACTGGCATATGTAACATATTGTCTTACAGGTAATTTTTTGTTGTAAGTAGAAGGAGTACACTTGAAAACAACAAATAACATGGTTATTTACTACCATGATCAAGTATTATGTACTGTACTTAATTGAAGTCCTACACTTTCATGTGACTGAAGGTGCAGTAGGTTTGTTTACACCAGCATCACTGCAAACACCTAACTAATGTGTTACACTACAACGTTAGAACACCTACAGAATCACTGATGATAGATATTTCAAATCCATTATAATTTTACGTGACCACAGTTACTCGGTCATTGACCAAACCATCATTACAGGGTGCATGGTTGCAAATAGGTATATAATACTTATCATAAAACATAATTTATAAATTAGGCACAGTAAGAGATTAACAATAACTAATGATAAAATAGAAGAGTTATAACAATATGCTGTAATAAAAGCGAATGTTTCTGGAATTTTCCATTTAATATTTTTGGACCTCGATGGACTGTGGGTAACTGAAACTGTGAGGAGGGAAACTGGGTAAGGTGGGATTGTTGCATTAGACTCATGAGTCTGTGAACAAGAGTCTGTGTTATCTGTGGTACCCATGAATAGTTATTCTACAGAGACACACTGCTAGGTATTAATTAAAATAGGTGTAAGATGTTTGTAAAGAATTCAGAGCAGTGTCAGGTATATAGTGGACTCATGATAGGTTTTTGTAGGAAGTAAAGGCCTCCTTGTAGTTTGAGGTAAAGGCACCACATTAGGTGCAAAATAATATACATGGATAAGAATGCTCCATCTAAGAAAAGGCTGTTTATTAGTCTCTATCAGACTTGACAATTTTAATAAATGAGGACAGCCTGAAATCCTGGGGTGCTCTATCACATATCAAACTTTTTCATACTTATTCTTTTTTGTTTTAACTCTACCTAATCCCTTACAAAAAGCCTTATAACACAAACATAAGAGTATTGTTATCCTAATTTATAAAGCAATATATTAGTATATTTTCCTTGAAACATGTAGTCGGCTTTTTTACTTCTTACCTTTTCAATTTTTTCATCCAGCATTCTGAAGAATTCTTGTTGGCTTTCAGAAATGTGCATGCTGAAAAACAAAGAGCATTTAAGTATATATTTCAATACTTCCTCAACCCTAGCCCCTCAAATGAAACATAGTGACCCTTAAACTCTGGGGCATTTATTATAGATTTTTCCACTGAAATACACTTTAAGATTATATTAGAGATCTGTGTCATTACAGTAATCCCGTGAGTGCATTTCACACTAGTCTACTAGTGCCTATGACTTAAGGAATACAATTTTCTTTCAATGTACAGATGTTATTTATGGTAATGTTAACTAGGAGGTAAGTGCCAATTTTTTTCATAATACATTCGTAATTTAAAAAGAAATAGAGCAAGGGAAAGCAGTACATGGTATACAACTGTGTGTAGTATAAAAAGAAAATTTATCCTGGTTATATTGAAATATGATTTTTATAGAGGTTGTCAGCATCAGCGTGATATCCAGCTGATGTATAGGTGTGGAATGGAGACAAACAAGCTGAGAACACAGTGATTGCCTGACATTGTCCCTGGTAACTTTCTACACTGGTGACAGCAAATGTACCTTTGTGTGACTGAAATTCCACTGAAATGTGCGGACTACTCAGAGGACATGTATGAGTGGCACTTTCCCTATGTGTTTGCTTTTCCTATGCCCTTTAACAGCTTGCTCAGGAAGATTTTGACATGGTTGGTGGGGACAAAACATGAGAAGACAAGGTGAGAAGAGAAAAATCACAGAAGGAGGTAGGCAGCATGGGCCTCAGTGGTATCATGTCCTTTGTTTCTCTTGAGCAGACTTGTGGGTGTCCCAAGAAGATTAAGGATGCTGGGTAAGAGACACACACACTCCATTTCTTTCTGTTCCTACTAGTGCTTATTGGTTGTAGGGTCTGGTGTAGGGGTGCAGAGGAAGTGCTAGAATAGTTTCTTCCCTTCAAGTTAAGTGTGGGGAGAAGCTCACCCAATGTGCCCCTTAGCACAATGCCACACACATTAGGGGCCATATGAAGCGGCACAAGTGACCCCAAACCCTTCAAGCCTCCCCTGGAAGACAGGGCTCAGAGGATATTCTCCCTTGATTTTAAACCAAGATTTAAAACCTGTGAGCACAGGACATCAGCTTTGTTATAAAAGAAAAACAATGCAAATATCTGACACGGTTAATCATTTCACAGTTTACAGATTACTTTCACACATCATTTAATTTTGCCATCCTTTACATATCAGTTCAAATAAGGTAATGTTCTATTGGGAAAGGGTGTGTTTCTTATGCAGGTTTGAGAGGAAAAGCAGAATCTAGGATGAGGATACATTAAACAGTCTCTCTGTAGAATCCTGGGCAGAAAAGACATTTTGTGTACGGAGTTTTTTGATTTCTCATAGTTTAACTTGCTAAACAGCTTTTATTTGGATGCAAACCTTTCTAAATTACATATGCTTTCTTTTTTTTTGGTACCAGGGAACGAACTCAGGACCTTGTGCTTGTGAAGCAGGTGGCGGAAGCACTGAGCTAAATCCCTGGCCCTACATACGCTTTTAATAGAGGATCTGCTACAAACATTCCTTAATTTTCACTTACTGACTAGGATCCATTCCCTTGTTCTCAGATTGTAACACTCTGCAATGTGGAGCTACCCAGAGACACTCACATGAGTGGAGTGGGCTCCCTGTTAGCAAAATGGTCTGGAACCCAGTGCTCAGCCTGCTGAGAGGTTCTTCTCACATCTCTTCTTGTCAGAGTGGTGTCCATCCTCCTCCAGCTTCCCTCTCAGCTGCTGCTTCTGTTCCATGCTTGGAAATGCACAGCCAGGTTTGTCTGCTGTGTCTGAAGTTCATGTAACAGGGTCTGAGAGGAGCCAGGGGCTTCCCTATGAGTCAGAACATCAACCTCTGGCCTCTATGTTGGCTGCCCAGGTTCTCCTTGGGCATCTTTTCTGTTTTTAGCCAAGCTCTCAAGGGATGAGGTTGCTGGACAGCTGTAGGTCCCAGATAGGAAAGGCATTCAGATATGATCCTGGGGAGTGAATCCAGGGCCTTGCACATGTTAGCCAAGCACTGTACCTCTGAGGTACATCCCTAGCCTTTTTCATTTTATTTTGAGACAGGGTTTCACTAAGTTTCCCAGGATAGCTTTGAATTTGTAGTCCTCCTGCTTCAACCTCCCCAAGTAGCTAGGATGGCTGATGTGCACCACTGCACCTAGAAAAATACAGGTACAGTATCTTGTTATAGATAACTAGATAGATGTAGATCGTGTATATATGTAGTTTCCCTAGGAAATTCCAAGGTTTCACAAAAATGGCACTTTCAGGTCTTTGTGTTCATGGTAGAAACTTTCTGGTTGGTATTCTCAGCATATATGGCCTTGCACATAGTAGGAAGGCAAGAAATACTTGTTAAATAAGTGACAAAGTGCTATCTTCATATGATTCATAGGCCCTCACAAAGTTAGCACATTAGCACGGGTGAGGTGTGGAGCCTCAGATTCTCCATCTAGTCAGTGAAATGGTCTCTGAGGTCCCTTCCATCACTCACAGTCTATGCTTGTTACCAACTTCCATTTGCTCCTTTATTTAATGGTCACAATATGAAGACAGAAATGTCTCGTTAGCACTCATGCCTCTGCACAGTAGAGGGACAGGGAGAGATGTCTGAATCACAATGCATTTTGTGGAGACTCATGAGTCTGAATCAGGAGCTGGAGATGGAATGTGAAAGCCATGACCTCAGAATGTAGGCCTCACTTTATACAAGCACAAAAACCTCAGTGGTTTTAGTTTTGTGTTGACCCATTGATATGGAAATGCTGCTTACTTTCTCTACGTCTAAGAGCATCAGGATATGCCGGTCTGCCTTTCCCTCAGTTGGTAAGTGACCAACGAGAGTCACACACCAGGCTGATTCACTCTCTTGCTACGCTGAAATACAGTACACTCACTCTGTTAGACAAGATTGACTGAATGGAAGCCGACTTGTTATTATCAAAGCCGTGTGCGGCCGACAAGCTCTTTCAGATAAATGCTTCTGTCCCTGTGAGACTGGTAGACGCTGCATCCTAGTTCTCTGTGTATCATCTCAGGAATGGCGTGATCTGAACGCACAAGGCTTACTCTGCTGGTCTCCATAGGTTCATTCCAGAAGGAAGAACAGAAACAAATTATCCTATATTCACTGATTCATGCTTGGATAAACACAGACTCCCTCTTTCCATCAGGACATCTATCAGAGCGGCATTAATGTAAGTATTTACCTTAAGAGTACAAAATGCATGGTGAAGACCAGTCTCAGGGCAACAACTTGGTTTTCAGATTCTTTCCAGGGCACAACTGCTGATTGTGAGTGGGAAAGAGGAGAGGAGGAAAAGCTTACGGGCTTCCCCATCTTCCCACAAGCTACAGTAAAGGACTATTAAACTGTTTATGACTTAAATTTATATAGTATGAATAGTTGGTGCTAAGATTCATTAGACCTAAAAGTCTTTTACAAAGATTTATGTGTTGGTACCTGATTTAATGAATACAGTTCACCAGTCTCAGTAATTCCTATTTCTTTTTAATAACTAAAAACTCAACTTTGCACTTCTTGGGACTCCAGTTAGCGCTGCAGAGCTCTGTGACCTCACCCTGTACCATCACAGGCTCTTCCTCTCAGCGTCACGGGACCAGGGATGACAGCACTAAGGAATCTTAATGCAAAGGAACCAAATTAAGGAATGGTGGGCAAAATGGGCTTCAGAATTAAAAGATACATGACTTTCATTTTTACTGACTTGAATAATATAAAAAAATTCTAAATAATAAAAATCCAAGTTACAAGTCTAAAAAAGATGATTGAAAGTAGGACGAAGAATATTACTAGACAAGAGGAAGGGACTAAGGGGGAGGGGATATAAAGGAGAGTAATGGGAGGATGGGTGTGATCAAAATTATATGTATGCATGCATGAAAATACCACATTCAAACCCAATAGTTATAAAATTAATAGGCACTAATAAAAATATATTTTAAAAGTAGTATGTCATTAAAAAAAAAGATGAGAAGGTAAGGTTCTAATTCCCTAAAACTTTACCCAAAACATGCCACTTTGGCACATTGATTATTTTGAGCCAAAGGCACTTGAAAAACAGCAGGCGAGGGGCACTCTGACCTCCCTTTTTCTTCCTGAAATCAGGAGATAAAGTTCTCACATGAAAGATGCCCTCTTTATACCAGGAGAAAAGAAATATTCTTACCTCTGGAGATGGGGAGCCAAAGCCAAGAGAATTCTGTACAGACCTTGTTAAAGTAACTATTACCAATGATCACCTCTTATATTTCAACCATTCTTCTACAATTGCCTTTCTTTGTTCAACCTAGTATATTAAGTGTTTAGTTTTTGCTGCTTTTTTTTTTTTTGATCTTTATTTTCTGATGGAGGGATTCCATGTACATGTAAAAATCTCTATGCTTTTTCTCCCACTAATTCGTTTTATAAAAATTTAATTCTCAAGCCCAGCTGGAAACTTTGAGAGGACTGAGGTAAATCCTTACCTCTCTTATGCTTACAAACATGAAATTCAATTACCCAGTAGGTTCCTGGTAACCTTGGCCTGAACACAGTTATTCCTTAATTATCATCATTGTTAACACTGACCTGAGGGGGAAATAATTTGTCGTATCATTACACTGACATTGTAAACCATAAGTCGATTTTAAGGTGTTCAGCTTTTTTCAAGTACAAGTTAAGTCACTGGGCCCTTCCCTATCCCTGGAGGCATCCTGACTGCTGTGGCACCGGCACCGGCACGGGGGCCATCGTAGCCACGATCCACAGACATTGAGCCAGTTAAAATGATTATGAACTAGGTTGTTTTTAAGAACCTTTCTAAGAAGGCCCATAGATAATACAACTTCTGCTTATGGTCTTGATTTATGGAGTTCTTACATACATGTAATAGTCAACTTTATTTTGGGCTTTCAGATGTACCTGTGTCACTGGTATCATCAGGAATGTTTAAATTTAGGTATAACACCACAATACAGATGGCCTCTCAAAAAAGAGTCTTTTTTTGTTTGGTGGTATTGAGCAGCCTTCATACTGACTACATTCCTAGCCCTATTTATTTATTTATTTATTTATTATTTTTTGGTACTGGGGATTGAACTCGGGTCCCTGTGCTTGCACAGCAGGCCTAGCCCTTTTAATTTTAGTATATGTGCTGCTGAAGCAAGCACAAGCCCTTTTAATTTTAACACAGGATTTTCCCAAGTTGCCCAAGTGGGATTCACACTTGCAATCCTCCTGTCTCGTCATCCCAGTGTGTTGGGATTACAGATATACACCACCATGTCTGGCTAACAGAGCCTCTTTTAAGAAAGGGGAGGTTGATTTCATGGTTGCAAAGTGTGCCGGGCATGGTGGCGCACGCCTGTGACCTCAGCATTTGGGAGGCTGACGCAGGAGGATTGCCATGAGTTTGAGGCCAGCTTGGACTACACAGTGAGACCTTGTCTCAAAAAACAAAACACAAACAAAAAAAGTGGCATGGTTTCAAAGTACATTATATTGCCAATGCAGAACCAGTTCTAGAACAATCTAGAAATCTACTCCCGATTCACTTTAACTTTTAAAAAATGCATTCACTATTTAACCATTTATGGATGGTTATTTGTTGGTAATCCACATATTTTCAAGTACTTGCTCCATTGAGGAAATGTACTAGGCACTCTATACATCCTTATGTAATGTAATCTGTTTTTCAAAAAGGATTTTTTTCTTTAAAAATCATTAAAATTTTAAATTATGAAGTACATAACACATAGAAAACATATATTATTTGTACATTTTTGAATGATAATGAAAGGAACTCCCATATAATTAGCATCTACATTGAGAAACAAAGCTCTGGTTCCACAGTCTGGTAAGCTGTCGGACAGAAACTTATACTAAACTGTTTTGAATTTAATGCCTTTTCACTTCTTTGCTTCTCCTTATTGTTTTATTATACACTATATTGCTTAGTTCTGTCTGTTTTTGAACTTTATATGAATAAAGTCATACATAGGCCATAGTGCTACTTACTTCACTGCCTCAACTTTGTATGTATGTATGTATGTATGTATGTATGTATGTATGTATTTATTTTTGGTACTGGGGATCAAACTCAGGACCTTGTGCTTGCGAAGCAGGCACGGCGCCACTGAACTAAATCCTTGGCCCTTCAACTTTGTATTTATGAGATTCTTTCATTTGATATGCAAAGTAAATGAGCTCAAAATATGTCTTCTGGCACAAATGTCACAAAGAGTTTCTTAAGCATATTCACCTGGGATTGGTATTGCAGGGTAAAGTATGCCTAGGTTCAATTTTACAAGAGTGTGTAAATTGTTTTCCAATGTAATCGTATCAGTTTACACTCCTACAAGCAAGAGTTAAGAATATCGATCCATATCTGGTCAACCTTTGTTGTATTGTCAGACTTTTAAGTTTTTGCCAATTTGGGAGTATAAATGGCATTTTTTTCATATTTAACAGCCATTCATGTTTCCAATTCAGTCAAATGGTTGTTCCTGTCTTTAGCTTATTATTCTATGGGTTCTCTGCCTTTGCTTATTCATTTGTAGAATTACTTTGTATATTCTGGAAACCTATGGATGTAGTCTTCCTCCATTTTGTGGCTTTTTACTGTCTGACAATATATTTTGATAAACAGAAGTTCTTAATTTTAGTGTAGGGATTTTCATTAATGACTTTCCTTAAGATTTGCATTTTTTTTGTGTCTTGCTCAAAAGCCTTCCCTATCTCACAATCAGAAAGATATTTCTCCCCCTTTCCTTCTAACGGGTGTGCAGCCGTCAGCTTTGATGTGTACTGTGGATGTTTTGGGACTCTCTATTCTCTTTGGGGCCACACTGTCTCAGTTGCTAAAGCTTTATAATAAGTCTTGCTTACCTGGTAGGCAAAATGGCACTTATTCTGAAAACACTTTTAGTTTTAAAAACAACATAAGGAAAATAGAAACTAGAACTTACTTTGCTCTGGGTTGATGAACTAATCCAGGAATCTCTTTATTAGTTTTAAGTCTTACATTTGAGCTGGCACTTTTTTCCTGTAACACACAAGCATACACATGGAAAAGACAAGATCAGAATCTGAATTTAAACAGTGGATTGAATTTTCATAACAGAAATGTTAGTTGGAGCTGTTTGGGGCCCTCTACCATGGCTACTTATTTCACAAGGACAGAAGTCTTTGGAGTGATGTTACCCAATACAGGTAGAGCACATAAGACGTCTTAATAGAGAACACTGGGAAAAGAGGAATTAGCTTTTTAAAAAAATTTTTAATAAATTTTATTGATACATTTTAGGTATACAATATAATGACATTCATCATTGGAAATCTGCACC